TTTCGTATATATTTTTGCAGACTTTTTACAACAATGGGGATTACATAATCAGGCAAGGAGCGAGAGGAGATACATTTTTCATAATAAGCAGAGGACAAGTTCGCGTCACGATAAAACAGCCCGATACACCGGAAGAAAAATATATCAGGACGCTAAGCAAAGGCGATTTCTTCGGTGAAAAAGCTCTTCAAGGGTAATATTATTTGATTCACTTTGAACAAAAAAATTATAAAATTAAACATTTTTCACAGAACACTTCCAAGAAACATATATATATTATAAAGATAGTGGAAAGAATTATTAAATACGATCAAATCATCTATCAAATCACTATCAAACTGAATTTCAATTTTAAAATTTTTCGATAAAATTTCGAATCAATTGAATTATTCTTACTTCCATAATCCATCAACCGTAATTGAAATCTTTCGTACAAATGTATCAACGCCCACGCAATGATTAAATTGCGCGAAACGTTTTCACAGGGATGACCTGAGGACGGCCAACATAATCGCCGACGATCCGGAAGGAGTGAGTTGCCTGGTGATAGACCGTGAAACGTTCAATCAACTGATCTCGTCCCTGGACGAAATTCGTACACGATACAAAGACGAGCTCGTTGAACGTAGAAGGTGAGTGCGTTTCGAATCTACGCCACGTAATTCGATCGCGCATGTAGTGAAACGTGGTGTTATTATTAATAACCGCGTTAACTCTCATCAACGCTAATTATACACGGCCATAATCGCGATCGTGAATCGTCTGTTAAATCCTCTATCTCCTCTATGTATGTATGTATGTATGTATGTATGTCTGTGTATGTTATGTTTCACGCTTACCAACTAGGATGGGAGAATAGAGCGTACAATATCAGAGTAAGTTTCGCGTTATGATACAACAGCTAATGATTAATCTGATGATTTTCGTTAATTTTTATTTATTTATTTATTTATTTATTAATATTTTTCTCTCTCTCTCTTAAAAAACATGTTGGCAATTTGTATCAACCGCCGCATCGCGATAGAAACGGAAAAAGAAGGAATTAAAACAATTAGTCGTAAATCTTATCAGCATGATGGTATTAATGTAATTTAAAAGCGCAGTATCGTAATTGAGAATAATTTAGATAATTTAATTTAATATTTCTGGAGACAAGAATTAAAGATTAAATTTATTTTCTTCTTTTTCTTCTTCTTTTCATCTATCGTAATAAGTAGAGGTAAAAATAATTGATCGCTTAAGATTATTTAGAAATATTCGTAAATTAATTCCATTTAATTTGTAATTAATTTTTATAGCTTTTATGGTTAAATTTTTTAAAAATAGAAAAAGCTTTTATTCTATGATTATATATAAAATCTAATCTAGAATCTTTTTTTGCTTTCATGTTCTTCGCGCACAATTTAATAAAAAAAAAAGTAGAGAGATAATGAACGAACATGCTCACGTGTATCTGATAATATATAGGTTGAATGAGGAATTCAGAGATCTAAGACTGCAAGATCTTCGACCATTGGCCACTCTAGGTGTGGGCGGTTTCGGAAGAGTCGAATTAGTTCAAATAGCTGGTGACAGTTCGAGATCCTTCGCTTTGAAACAGATGAAGAAAGCCCAGATTGTTGAAACGCGACAGCAACAACACATTATGTCAGAGAAGAGAATTATGGGAGAAGCTGATTGCGATTTCGTGGTAAAGTTATTCAAAACGTTCAAGGATAGAAAGTATCTTTACATGCTGATGGAAGCCTGTCTTGGTGGCGAGCTTTGGACTGTTTTAAGAGACAAGGGTCACTTTGACGATGGCACGACAAGATTCTACACTGCTTGTGTCGTAGAAGCGTTCGATTATCTTCATTCTAGGAATATTATATACAGAGATCTCAAGCCGGAAAATCTCTTACTTGACAGTCAAGGGTAAGAAAGTTTTTTTAAAATAGATTCCATATGTGGGGATATAAAGAGAATTTTTTAATTTTCGTTATTTAATTAATTATTTCTTTCGTTTGCTAATAATATTTTTCAGATATGTAAAACTCGTCGATTTTGGTTTTGCCAAACGTTTGGATCATGGAAGAAAGACGTGGACCTTCTGTGGCACGCCTGAATACGTTGCACCGGAAGTTATATTAAATAAAGGGCACGATATCAGTGCCGATTATTGGTCTCTTGGTGTTCTGATGTTCGAACTTCTTACGGGTACACCACCATTCACTGGTGGCGACCCAATGAAGACTTATAACATTATTTTAAAAGGAATCGACGCTATAGAATTTCCTAGATCTATCACGCGAAACGCGACTGCGTTAATTAAAAAGCTCTGCAGGTAATAATTAAACGCTGATCGACTGATAATTCTATAATTGATTTATTAATTAAATTTTGTTATTCACGTTACCTGTATTTATTCGTTTAAGGGACAATCCAGCGGAGCGTCTTGGTTACCAAAAGGGTGGCATTAGCGAAATACAGAAACACAAGTAAGTATATTAAATAATATAATTGCACAAGAAATAGAGAAGAATTTTTTATTAATAATTATATCTGTCTGTTTAGATGGTTCGATGGTTTTAATTGGGAAGGTTTAAGAGCAAGAACACTTGAACCTCCAATCATGCCGCGAGTTCAAAATGCTACAGATACAACGAACTTTGACGAGTATCCTCCAGATTCAGATCCACCACCACCTGATGATATATCCGGATGGGATAATGATTTTTAGTCAAGATCTATTAATAATTCCTTTAAAGAAATTGCTCTTGAAAAAGAACGTACGTGAAACTTCGAACCGTGTTCGACAAATAGCGAAAAAAAGTTGAGAGATCGGTGGAGAATGTGACTATCAGCATCTGCATTTATTCAATAAGCTAATATGTGATGCATAGATAATCGTCTAGGATAACATCGATCATCGAAAAACATGATATGGATAAAGACGAAACTGGTCTGTGATAAAAAAAATCAGGCCGTTAAAAAGTAAGTTTTTCAAAAAATCTTCGTATTTGTTACGTAATCTATGGATGTAAATGATCGCACCATAATATCTAAGGAGGCATACGAATTTTTTACGCAAGACGATTATTAATCTATAAAGATTATTAATTATAAATTGCATCCGATTTAGAAAAATATTTACACACACGAGCTCGCGTTCGATAAAATAAAAACTCGAACGTGGCATCGTGAGATGCGCACGAATGCGTTAAGTGCCATATCTAAAAATGGTAAAAGTCGAATACGATATGTGTGTATAGAAAGAATGACCATACGACATGCACGATATTCAGTTAGCTCAAATTATAAGAAACATCTTGCCATCAGATTCTTATATCGTGCACTCGGTTTCGCAGAATGAATCACATTGAATTCTTCTCATAACCGATTCATTGTTGTTTGATTTACTTTATAGTTTATTGTAATAATTCTATTTTAATTAATTAATACGAAAACGTGACTCTTGTAAATAATTGACTATAAATAAATAAATATATATATATATATATTACATATATATACTTAAAGTTCAATGAATATCAATAATAAAGTTTTATTAATGCTAATCATGCGTAATTGATTAAATTTGCCGAAATTACCCAATTTGAAATTAGAAAGCTAATTGAATAAAAAAAATTAAAATACTCTTATATAAAAATTATTTTAAATGCTTTGCAACAAATTTATTTTTATAATTTATCTACTTATTAATTTTGTAACATATTTTTAAATCAAATTATTTAATAGAAATAAATTTTTTTATTTCTAAATATTAAAATATTTATCACAAAAAAGTAAATAATCTTATAAATAATAAAATTGAGTTTTTTGATTTCTAAATTAGTATTCTAATCTCATTATTTTAAGAAACTCTTAAAATCTTTAAAATATTAATAAAGATTAATACGAGAAGAGTAAAGTTAGGGTAAAAATTAGGCAATCAGCGCCATCTCTAGAATACTATAATGAAACATAAACATAAAGAGAATAAATAATAGAAGGAAAGAAATAAGAGGTAAAAATGACCATTAATGCCATCTTTTGAATGCTTTTAGAAAGATAATTTTTAAAGAAATGTCTTTGGTTTTCAAAAGATAACTCTGTTCTTTTCTTATTTTCTCATTGTCCATATTTGTTTCGAGGCATTTTAAAGATGGCGTTGATTTCACAATTTTTATGTTATCCTTTTTCCATTATTTACTCTTCTTGTTTATATTAGAAATTGAAATCATTATTATCATATAATCATATCATATTTCATAAAAATAATCATAAAAAATTCCTAAAAAATTCTTTGATAAATAGTTTATGTTTTATATTTTGTAATTATATGTAGAAAGTATATATGTTACTTAAAATAAATTTATTATTTAAAATAAACAAATGTTGGTTTTACTTATTTATAATTATTATAATATAATTATTATAATTTATAACTATTATATATTTTCATTTTTTTATGATTAAGAATTATTAATTAAAATTATTATAGAATTTACATTATGTAATAAAAATATATATTTATGAAGATATGTAATATGAATTTAGAAGTTTCAATTTTACTTTTAAATACATATGAAAATTAAAATTAATTCTAAAAAAATTATATATGAAATATTGTTTCAAATTAAATCTATTTAACTTTTTTATTATTAAATAAATCATTAAATGAAAATATATGATGAAAATTAAAAATTAAAATAGAGGAAACAAAAAATGTTTGAAATATAAATTTTTTTATATTAATATCTTTTTTATTTTTTTATGTATTAAAAGAAATATTAAAGATGTAAATTATCTGAAAAATAATAAAATTTTAAATATAATTCATTTTCATAATGAGCAACATTATAGCAATATATAACTAAAATTCTCAAATTATCAACAATGTTATTAACCAATAGCTAGGATTGTAGCCTCTGTCACGTGATTTAGTTTATTTATCTTCTACAAGGACTATCATTTTGAAAGTGTTTAGTACTTATCTACACGCGGGTTATACTTTGTAAATATTATTTTTCAAAAAAAATAAAATTTTAATCAAGGTAAGTAAAATATTGTTTAACATTATTAATTAAATTAATAATTTATATTTTTTTAATTAATTGAAAATAAATAAATATATTTTAAAATATTATTTGAAACTTTGATCTATAAATTGATATTTTAAATCAATAAACCATGTGGTTTATATATCATAAAAAATTATTTTTTATATATTAAAGTTAACCTTATTATTTATAAATAATCGTTAATAATTTATTTTTTTTTTGTTTTTTTATCAAAAAATTATTATTTATTTTGAAAAGTAAAGAATAACAATATTAATATATAACTATATTAATTATTTATTTATCTTAAATAAATTTATTATTAT